TCATCTTAATACTTCTTTGTAAATTATTATTTGAAGTAACAAACCCATGGTTAATTTGCGGTTACCATGGCTACAAGAACCATGGATTTTGGTTTTATTCGTGTTAAAACCATGGCTAATTTTCGTAATGGAACATGGAAATTCAGAGAGAATATTAGATTCGTTGTTGGTGGTGAAATTACGCATTCGGGATAGTTTAAAAGAACTCGGGTCTAATCGGGTCCATTTGGGAAAAGCATGTTTATTTTAAATTACCCGAGACCCGAGGCCGCTAATACCGAACCCGACCCGTGTCTGAGGTACTCGTCGAAGTTTTGGACCCGAACCCGCTCGGGCCGCTCGGACCTCGGGAGTTGGTGCCCTACGCAAACTGCGTAGCCTATCCTGCATAGGCTATAGGGAGCGGCGGTAGCCTACTGCATATTATATTTAAAGTTGCTTAAGCGAAATCAAGGAGTTTAGATAAAAAATTAGGGAATTTACTTTAATACTTTTTTGTTTTTATTTCAGGAGTAGCCTACTCTTTACAGAGGCATCACCAGCGAGCTGCTTGACTTCTCAGTCCTCCAGATGGCCAAGCTGTATTAGGACTTTGTCAGCACTACACCCCCTCTGAGGATTCTGAGGAGTCACTCACTGATGGATGTGCCGTGCCGGGGCTAAGCAAGTTTCTGATGGGGCTATAGCCCCGCCACTGCGAGAGAGACGCGGACTCCTGCTGTAACTTTACCTGCTGGTGTCGCTGTCTTTAAAGTTTCTTTAGAAAAACGAGTGATTATACACTTGTTAATGTTATATTTTTGTAATATTGGCGTTGTTTAATTTTTGGTACTACAAATTTTTATCATCCAATATTTTGAGGAGACAGCGCCTCCCTTGCCTACTCGGAGGAAACGCCCCTGAGATGTACGTATGATGTAAGTAAGATATTCATTCATCAGAGTGCTTAAACTGAAGTCAGTCATGATGTTCTTTATAATGTAAATGTTCTTTGCAAGTTTTCTCTGTATAATTTACTCGCTGTTTGAATAACCGTGAAAGTAAAAACATTATAGTAACTTCCAGTGTTTTTATTAAATTATGATCAAGTTAAATACATATCCAGTCATATTAAAAATGTCTTATGACACCCATACTGTACTGGTACTTGCCTAAAAAGACAGGTGTATGATGTGCGTTATTACCAAATGGTGAGCTGCTTATTAGAATAAACCCACAAAATGGTAATAAACCTAGTAAGAACAGCTCAGCTGTTAGGTAAACTTAACAAGCATGGTCAGAGGATCGTCACCCTCCTTACCAACCACTGCTTGCAACATCTCACTTGGAGTGACAAAGCATTATGCACCTTTGAAGAAGTGATCGATAAAGACCAGGGGCCTTATTTATCAACAGTGCTATACGGCGCGTACATATTTACGCCAATTTTATTTTTTATAAATCCCTATTCCCTATTGCGTACGCAATTTCTATGCCCATTTTGTGCGTACGCAACGTTTATAAATGAGACCCCTGGTCAATCCTCACTTCCCCACAGCTGCTTGCAGATTGTTGCTCAGCAGCCCGTTAATGTTCCCCTCATCTTTTTGTCGCCCAAAAAAGAGGAAAAGCACGTAACAGTCTCTGCCGATGGAGGAGCAGAACTCCACCATCCTCTCAGCTGGAGTTCTTTCCACCACATCCATCCCGGCCATGCGCATGATGTCGCTGTAGATACCTAAAGACAGTTCCTCGATGTTCTTTCCGGCAGATGAAAAACCCGGACCAGGGGTTCTTGCTCGGCTGATCCAACACGGTCCAGACCCAGTGGGCACCGAGCAGGATCTTCTGTTCTGGGGTCATGGCCGTGCAGTTGATTCAGCAGGCTGCTGCGCTGGATGTAGGTCATCAGAAAGATCTCACTTAGGGTTGAAGGACTTGGGTGGAACTTGTTCTCCGGGTCCCTGAAAAGCAGATAGTCCTTTGTTCTGGATGAGATACTCCTTTGTTCTCTGATGCAGTCATTATAGAGGTGGATGAGGTCTGCCGAGGTGGTTTTGTTGGGTTTAGCCCATAAGGTTCTGAAAAAGCTGGTTTTGGCTTCATACTGGAGATCTGTTTGCTTCATTCCAGCTGGTCTAGTTCAAAGTGTGGTTTCCCTTATACACTGGAAATATTGATACATAATTATAATACTGCATTTTCCATTTAAAGTTTCTTCAAACTTTGCTTTAACTCACCAAAAGTCAGAATCAAAATAAATAAAATTTAACAGAAAAAAAAAATCATACAATTAAAAGAAAAACTATTTTTAATAATACTTTATATATTAATTCATTTTTAAAGAAATTAATATTTTTATTCAGCAAGGATGCAAATAGATTAAAAGAGACTTTGTAATGCTTGAATTTTTAAAACTGAATAGTTTTACACTGTCAGTAAGTTAAAAAAAGACATTAATGCTTTATTCAACAAGGATGAATAAATTAATGAAAAGTGATAGACATTATTTTCAAATAAATTGTTTTTATTAATCAAAGAATCCTGACAAAAAGTACCATGTTTTCCCCCAAAATATCTAACTGTTTTTAAATGAGATAATAATAATATAACCATTATTAATAATTAAGCACCAATATTAGTGGATAATAACTGAACTGCAAACCAATATGTTAGAATGAATTCTGAAGGATCATTTAACACTGAAGACTGGTGTAAAAACTGTAATATTTCACAATATTGTAACTGTATTTTTTTCTATTTCATATTTTGAACTGTATTGAACTGTACAAGAGACTTCTTTAAAAAAAATACAAAAATAATTATTAATATTATTCAAAATAAAATAGTTGACATCGCTAACATGACAGTTTGTTACAATAAAATAGCTGTCAATGGACACTGACATGTAAAATGTTGCCAGGTAAAATAACTCACCAATATTATCCTTTCCTTGGTATTGGTTGAGAGTGAACCTGCGGTCGGATTTTTCTTCTCTTCTTTGGAGTCCTGTTAAGATAAGTATGCTCATTTAAAGCTCAGCCGTCATATAAGGACCTCCCAAAGTTTGTCGGTTGGGTCATGGGACACATTGGACACGTAGGACGCTGGACAAGTCATCATACACGGCATAAAGCCCCCTACTACAACAAACCCCTTTTAACTCTTGGGGTGGATTTAACAGAGGTATAGCAAGCAAACAACCATTTCTGCTTGAAAAAACAAACTGCTTTTAACAAGCTTTGAAAAAAGATGAAGTAAAACAGCCTAAGAAAATGACAAAGTGTTCGTCAAACAGAAGGATTTACTCACATCCAGTTCCACTGGCTATATGAATACAATATTTTAAGAAAAACACAATGGTTGAGGTAGATGATTTCATCTATTGACAGAAAGGCTTTGTGAAAAGTGCTGTCTGCATATTACACAAAATCATTTTTTTGTTTGCTCTTTAACTCAGATCTGATTGTCATACAGTACATCATAACCTCATAATGCATCAAAAATAATTAGTAATACAATAACAAAAATAGTAGAGCTGTGTTCTTGAGCTGAATTATGTAGGATTGTGTTACACAGTTCAGGTCCTGAAGCTTTGAGGGTGAGGTGGGTTAGGTTGAGGTATGCTCTCGGCGGGACGGTGGAGTTAATGCGGCGCAGGCCGATCACACTATGGCAGTCTGGCTGCGTCTCATTCCTCTCAGCAGCTCGTCTCGGCTGAGTAAGTACTATAAGTGAGAGGAGGTGAGGGTGTCAGGATTAGTGTGAAGCTCTGCATAAGTTAAACCTAGTTAAGCAGAGTTAAACCTAAACTTTTCAATAACAGCTATGTGACACTAGGGCTGGGTGAAATGCTGAATATTCACTTTGATCATTTTGCTTAAAAAAAATAAAAATAATTTTAAGCAATTTGAATATTGCAGTTTTAAAATGTGATTTTTATTTGGCCATTAAGTGTATCATGGACCTTTTTAACATTTCTGGTGTTATATTGGTGCATATAAATACAAAATATAAATGTAATTTCCCCTTAATAATAGTTTCATCAGAATGATGAGTCTTACTACTTCTACTACTAAAAATATAATAATAATAAATACTATAAGTAGTATCAGTTAGAGCGTTATATTTAAACTATTATTATTATATAAATGTATATACATATATTTTAGTTATATTTCATTTGAAACTACAGCAATATTCACATTGCTTAATTATATAGTTTTTATTTTTAAAATTTGTAAATGTATCATTTTATATATACTGTATATTTCGGTTAACAAACTATTAGAATAATAATTTGTTAATAGGCACTGTAGAGTTAAAAAAAAAAAAAAAACTACTTACTGTGAGGTTGTTAATTCTCCTGGACAAGGCCTCGATCTGCATCCCTGATTCTTTAGTGTGCAACAGCTGGAAAGCCAAGATATCCATAAAATATATTGACATAAATAATGTAAGTTCATATTCATCTTTTGGTCATAGTAAAGTACAAATATATTTATTAATAGAAGGAATATTAAGCAGAAGCAACGGGTGATAATGAAGTGCAGATATTGTAAAGAGAGAGAAATGTATATTAGAATGTACCTGCACAAGCGCATGAAAGTCCTTTCCCAGCATGCACTTCTCCACGTTGTGAAAATGGGTGTTTGGTGGTGGCCAGATGCATGGATGACAGCAGGTTAATGCTTAATGTTTGCAAATCATGCATGTCAATGTCATTTTTCAAAGTTTGTTATTAAACATGTGTTGCAAGATGATTTATTTTTGAAATCATATACAGCCAAGAAAACATTCATCAAGAAAAAAAAAAGGACAATGATAAAATAAAGGGGGGGGATATAGCTATTCTGTGTGTTAACAAACAAAACAAATATCACTGTGATTGAGGAGGTTTATTGATTATGTAACGATATTTTGGGTTATATATCGTTACAGTATCTTCGACTGAAGAGGCAAGATTTCTACCTGTAAAAATACTCCTGTGCAGTTTATTGTATGAAAATAACCTCGTCTGATTATTTAAAATGTGCTGCTGAACATTTAATAGTAGTCTGTATGCTTTTTAAAAATTCACCATAAATATACCATTAAATTAATCCCTAAAATATGCAAATGTTGCACAAAATTGTACACACTGTCTTTTAAAACAGCACAAAGTAGATGTTAGGTTACAAAAATGGAATACTTGTTAGATAAATCTCATAATACATTTTTTTTTACGATTCACAGAAAAATTATATAGTCAAATGTATCCGACTGTCCATCACAGGATAAATGGCACTATTCTGGGAAAAGCGTTCTCTTAAACCCTGCTGCCTTTGTGAGATGATGTCATTTACATTACTAAACCCTTGGATCCATGTCTTCCTGCAGTGTCCATACTGCTGTCTTGTGTCCGTCAATGAGGGATGTTGGGATGTTATAAAATGGCACAGGTGTCGTTGTGAACTTGTCATGGGTTTTGTGGGATATGGGTGGAGGGTTATTGGCTGCAAGCTCAGCGGTGACGGCTAGCAGAGCATCAGATCTGTAGAGCTCCCACCTGCTCCTGTCTCTCTGGGTCCCTGTCAAAGATGGGGCTCAGGCCCCTGAAGCCGCTGTAGGGCCAGTTGGCCCCATTGAGCAGGGCCTGGGCTTGTGAAGCATCCAGAGGGCAGATGTAGTCAGTGGAGTCGTGAGTGCGCTTCTTACGGTGGCCAAAACTGGAGAAACCTATTTTACGTGGCTGAGGAACAACAAATGAAGAATAAAACACAACAGCATGATCTAATGCATCATCTAATGCTTACTTAAAGTTAATATTGAAAACACTTATAATTTAATAACACTTAAATCTTTAGCAAATTGAATATCCAAAATTAATATCTATTTTTCATACTGTACATTATAATGTTGTGATGCCCAAATTCACATTTAGTTTGATTTTGTTTAATTTTTTTTATTTACACAAAACAGAAAAATAACTTTTAAAAAAAATTTTTTTTTTTACATCTGACACTATATTATTATCACTACTACTACAAGCATTAATAATAATAATAATAATAATAAATCAGAATATTTCCACCAAATTTAATTATTTTTTCATTATTATTAAAATAAATTTTTACTTAATATTAAAATAATTAAAATAAATAAATAATTGTGTTTGATACTGGCACATTACAATTATTATTAATAATAATAATAAACTATTTTTTTCACCAAATCCAATTCATTATTATTAAATTCCACCAATGTCATAAATTAACTATTAAAATAAATGAATTAAAATTAATGAATTGAATTGGGCTGGATATCAGAAACTACCTTATGATACGATACGCATCTTGATTTGATAAACTGCGAATTATCAAATAATCATAATCAGATTGTGACAAAAGACCAAATAATGAATCTCCAGAATCAGTTTCAAAATAAAAAAAAAAGACTCAAAATAACAGAAAAATAATAAGAGACCCTTTAATGCTGTTTGTCATCTTTACCGGAAATAATTAATTTCATTTTAAACACACTCTTTCTATTATCAGGAAAATTAATGGCTCAACTGTCTAAATGATGACAGAAATGTTTCATCTAAAGCTTCATTGTGCTTAGTAAGTGTGTTACATACTGTATGAGCATTCGCTCAGCACATTTGGTCTAGATGGACTAAGCGAAATGGAAGTGTCAAAACACATGTGCTGCATCAGCTGAGATTAAACAGGAATCGGGCAGCTGAAGCATGTGTCTGTTTATGTCAGGGCTTCCGACTTCATTCAGCTGCAGGGATGAAGGTGTTTCTAAATATTTGGTCAGCAAATGTGAATCAAAGACAAATCTGCGATTTCTCACCCGGACTTTAGCGGTGGTGGTTAGCGGCGTGTAGCCTGATGATTCCAGGTACTCTTGTTTCTCCCACTGAGCCTGAGAGCCCACCAGCATGTTGAAATTAGTGGCCAGATGCCTCCTCAGCAGAGTCTTCTGAGGGGGGATGTTCAGGAGCATCGCCAGTGTGTCTGAGTTAAAACGAGGTTCCAAGATCTGTGAAAAAAGATCTGCAGTTACTATGCTGTTCTGAGTAGTTTTTAGTGTGCTGCTGTGCATTTGCTAGGGTGGTCTGGATGGCTGCTTGCTGGTTGTGAAAAGAGCCCATAAGAATTCATTTAGGAGTAGTAGGAGAACGTGTAACGTGAGTTACTCACTATGAGTCCTCCATGCACTCCGCTGCCTCTCAGGTTGGGAGCGTATTCTGCCAGGTCAGCTTGTTTATGCATATTGCATAGTAGGTGCTGAAATACCGTGCTGAGACTCTGGTGCCCAAGCAGGTGAGTCGAGGGCCGGCTGTGGCCCTGAAACCCCCTCGCTTGAAGTCAGAATCAGAACCGTCTGCAGGAAGACTGCCTGACTGGGTTCTCCTGATCCTATGAACCAGAGGACAAAAAAAAAATGTGTGGCCATATGGGCGAAATAAAGAATACAGTCAATAATATCACAAGCCACATTTCATGATGCAATCAAATCCTGAAAACTTTTGCCCTACACTAATTTCCATATTTCACATAATATCACTTAAAAATACATCAAAAACAATGCTTTTTTAAAAAAGCTGTCTTTAACCGATAAAAAAAAAAAACTCAAATACTCACTTTCCCCACAGTTTTAGAATGCCTTTCTGGTTCTTCTTGTGCTCTGGTGAAACAGGAGACTGCTGACCTGATTCTACTCCAGACGACATGGGTGAAAGGTCAGACAAGGTCGAGTCATCTGTCTTCTCTGCCTTTCCTGTGAACAGGAAGCAATCAACTTATTCAGTTTTGTGTTTCTGCATTTTCATAAGTTCACTATTGGACTGAACACACATTATTCTAGCTTTACCCACCAAGCACAAACTGATCATGCTTTCCCCGTGGTACTGCACCAAATTTTAGCCATGCAAGAGAGCAGAGGAAAAGAAAGCAAATACTTATGTCACTGAGGCTGCAGAGATGTTTTGAATTTTTACTTCTATAGATAAAGAAAAAAAGAGCTTCTTTTTAAACTAAGAGTAGAAGAAATTAAAATAATTTTAACAGCAATAATAAAAAAAATCTATACAATAATTTAACATTTTCTTACAACGTTTTAAAAAAATACACTAATTACATCAGCTCTTTTGAGTTTGATATTTGATAGAAAATATTTTTCTAAGAAGACTTTTTAAATATGTCAATTAATGAATCTATCAAGAATGAGTCTATGTATAGCATCAATTATTTAATAATAAATATTACTATATGTAGAAAAATGCACTATTCAATTAAATATGCATTCATTATTAAAAATAATTAATTTATATATTTTTTTTACACTATGTAAAATGTATAACTTTCACATTTATAACTGTTCCAGTGGAGAATGACGGAGGTAGTTTAAGTTTGAGAGCCCTGCTCTAGAGTAAATCAAGACTGAATAAATAAGCAACCAAAGCAGGGCAAATGCTCATAAACTTTTCTAGTTTTCAGCATCAGACTTCTGTAGCCTATATGAAACCCAAATGGATTTCTCCTTATTCCTTTTTTCCATATACAGTACATTATATTTGCATCACATCAAGTTTAAACTCAAAGTCTAATCTCTGAGTGGAGAGAGCGAGAGTGAGAGTGAGAGTGAGAGAGAGAGAGAGATAGAGGAAAAATAAAAATTCCCTGCTTTTAGCTTTAAAGAATCAGGATAGGAGAGCTTAGGTTAAATCCAATATGACACAGCAAGAGTGTGCTCTGTGGTCGCATGCAAACTTGAGATTGAGAGGACAATACCTAAAGCTGGAGCACTGGCGCTTCGGCAGCGATCTTCGCACCGAGTGAGAGAGGATAAACACATGCGGAGACAGTCGCACAGCCCGAGAGATGGATTAGTCAGAGAGAAAGAGTAAAAGAGAAGATACAGAGAAGCCCATGCAAAGACACTGTAGTGTTAAAAAAGGCTGAATAAGATGGTTAAACAGCTGTTATGGTCAAAAAGCTTAGAGGACAAAAGTATTCAGAGAATGGAAGAGCAAACAAGCACAATCACACCAGCTGAGGTTATACAGTATTAATAAGATCAAAGGTCGTATGATAAAAATTATGCCTGTGTCTGAAAGATAAAAATGCAGTCAGTATACAGAAACATCCTATTATGCCTAAAAATTACATTTATTCAGAAATGTCATTTTTTTTTGTATTTTTATTTTAATATTTTATATTATATATATAATTTTTTTTTTTTTTTTACTTAAAATACTAAAATAACTATATAAGCTAAATAAAAATTTATAAAAAACTATATAGACATATAAAAAAAAAACTAATTTTAAAATAAAAACACACTAAATTACCAAAATTTTAAAATAAAATAAAATAAAATTGAAAACAGAAAATCTAAAAATAAAATCCAAATCAAAATATTCAGCAAAATTATAATAGTATATCAATCATTCTAAAATAACAAGAAAACAATGTAGGTCTGTACTATGTGTTATTGATTAGAGGGTGAAAATTGTTTCTAAATTATATGTCAGGTGATTGAAGGTGAGAAAAAAAAAGAGGTCTTGGTGTCATCTCTGATGCTACAAGGTCATATTTTAGTATGGTTTAGCACATTTTTGCATAACTCAGCAGTGTAAAAACACCTTTAATTTGTAATATGTGTTTCACAATCATCAATTCGTGTTGTTCTGTCAGAATCACATGCATCAGATGGATCTGGAGGAGATCTTTATTCCTTGGCTAGAATGGATGTGGATCGGTTGGCCGTGCTTTTAGATATATGGACATGTGAAACAGAATTTCTGGAGCACAAAATCCAGGTATGTGTCAGCTGATTGCAGTTAAAAGTCATGTTTAATGATGCTATACACTACTGTTCAAAGGTGCCATTCATTTGATTAAAGATACAATAAAACAGTAATATTGTGAAATATTGTTACAAAGGTTTTCTATGTGAATATATTTTATAATATAATTTATTCCTGTGATCAAAGCTGAATTTTCAGCATCATTACTCCAGTCTTCAGTGTCACATGATCCTTCAGAAATCATTGTAATATGCCGATTTGCTGCTCAAGAAATTTCATTTTTATTAATGTTGAAAACAGTTGTGCTGCTTTATATTTAAAAGAAGCTGTGATATATTTTTTTCAGAATTCTTTGAGGAATAGAAAGTTCAAAAGAACAGCATTTATTGGAAATATAAATCTTTTGTAACATTACAAATGTCTTTAACTGTCACTTTCGATCAATTGAATGTATCCTTTGCTGATTAAAAGTTTTAAATTCTTTAAAAAAAAAATAATGTATCAGTTTCCACAAATAATATTACACTGCAAAATGGTTTTTAACATTAATTATAATAAGAAATGTATCTTGAGCAGCAAATCAGAATGATTTCTGAAGGATCATGTGACACTGAAGACTGCA